TGGATCTACTCCAAAGATGTACGCTTTCTGTTTGGGTTGTTCCTCCACCACCCACATTGTCCTAGCAATGATTCATGATGTCCATGTGGCCACCATAAGAGTCTGGCAGGGGAAAGCACAGTCCATTTGCACTTTTCTCCCAGAGAAACACGAAACTACTCTATCACTCACAGCAGAGCAGCAGTAACCAGTACACAAATGGGAGTAAACACAATGCAACCAACAACATCTGACTTGCAAATTATTACATGACAATTAAAACAAATAAAAGGGGGAATTCCAAACCTTTTCTTTTTTTAACTGCATTGTAAAATCTGGGCCCAAACCAAACACTAACACCCTTGACCTTTAGCATATTCCAAATCCTTGATAGCCATTAAGACTGCTTTTCAGGCTCTCTCTTCCAGATCAAATTTAAAAGAATACGTGCACTTCAAAAATTTCTATCTGTACAATCCGATCTAGTTGCTTCCTCTGACCTATTTTTATTTAGCTGGGCTCAGTTATGTGTCTCCGAGTTCAGATCTTAAAACTCCTTCAGCCAAACTCTGCTTTTGTGTGCTGGACTGACTCTACCGGATTCATGAGTTCCCTGGCTTACAGCAGCTATAGATTACAATCTTTCATCAGGAAGAGATAACCTTAAAAAGAACTCAAAACTATAACGCTTCCATGTTGGTAAACCTTATCATTCATCAGATGAATGCTATTTACGCATCAGCATTTCAAACGCAAGTACTTTATCCCCTCGCTCGCACACAGAGCACTGAGCTCCAGCCCCTTCAGTTCGCTTCCTGCTGCCATTTCCTGTCGCAAGCCTAAAATGAGAGACTTTTACAGACTTCGCATTGGCGAGTTCATTGCAATAGTTTGTAGTTCACGTAATACAACAAGACAGTTATTTTCATAATGACATTCCAGCATAATTTGGGGAATATTATTTATTGTCCAGGTATTTCTAGGGAAAAATATACATATCTCTAGTACTGTGTATCAGAGAAATAAAAACTGTTCATTATTGTTCTTAGAAGCATGTTGTATTTCGGTCACAAATATGAACAGTTCTACGTTTCTCTGCGTTGCTAGTAGTGAGTGAAGAATTGCCTACAAGATCCAGAGGAAACTGAAATCGGTTTTGAGTGTCCACCTGAGGGATAAAACCTAATTTACAATAGTAAGCCTCAACAGCAGTTTCCTCAGTTTTGTAAGGCGCGCCGACTGCCACCTTCTCAGTACCCACTTCATTGCAGACACTGATCCAGACCCCAGATTCAAGGTACACCCAGATTTTGGAGTCTATGAAACAATAGGAGAATATCTCACTGCACAAAGATACCTGCACAAAGGTTTTTGGGGAAAAAAGAGTCTTGCTACTCTCATCTTAAACAAACGAGCCAAGTCAAGGAGCTCTATGGAATACAACATGCCGAAAACTATTAGGTGCTTATCTACACTGCTGCTCTCACCCTTGTCGTTACTACTAGAGCTAAAACTGGTGGCAAAAGTGGGAAATCGAATACCGCTTGCCAGCACAGACAAGGCTTGTGAGCTGTTAAAATGAAACTCAACAAAAACCATGTTTCCCCTGTGAGCTGGTGCATCTTCCTGCCTTCACAAAGGTGCGATTCTTTCACAGGCTCCCCGGGGCAGCGTCGCACTCTGGAAGAGGGCACAACAATGACAGGGTCACGGCAGCGATGCACTATCCACCCACCGGGATGTTTATTGTGGCTTACTTTGCTTCTGAGCAGCTTATCAGCGCTTTTTGCAAGGTGCTGTGCAGATCGGATCTGCAGCGAGCGAGCTCCCCAAGGCGAGCGCGGGATCCACCTCCTCCTTCCACCCAGTGACATTTTTAATTGATAAACTGGGCTGCAGAACTGGGCCTTTTTGTTCTGCGTTCATGCAGCCTAATGCAACAATGACTAAGCATGGCCATGGTAGTGATAATTAAAATTGTCTACAGTGTATAATGAGGGAAGCTGAAAGTCAGAGGTGCAAAGATCCTAATTTTCAGGCAGGCTGGGACACTCATTAACCTCTGACAACCCAAGCACAAAGGCTTAATTCTCCGTGTACTGCAGTCAGCCAGAGTCAGATCAGCCCCTGCATGATTTGCATATCCAGCTCAGTTCCTTAACCTTCCTCACCTTAAGATATACCTATTAAAGAAAGCAATTTCCACCTTGAAAGCACTTCAGGGCGTACCTGTAAGAGGTATCGCTGCATTATAAAACAGTGCGTGGATACACAGAGAACAAGCTCGCCTTTAGCACAGAGCAGAGTCCCAGAGATAACCCACTGCAAACTACACAGACTTCTGATTCAGGCCAAAGATTTGTCTCTGGGCCTCCCATCCTCTAAATTCCCCCTCTGCCAATCATTTATTCAAAGTCCAGCAGACTGAGACTGCCTGCAGAGGCCGAGGGGCGGCGGGGGAGGCAGGATATGGAACACCAGCATGCAAATCCCTGCTTCAGACTGGGCACTGCCGCTGGGATAAGTCATGCCTCTCTGCTACCAGGAGGTAAAAAAAGAAGAAAAAAAAAAAAAAAGGCAGTTTCCCCAGCAGTGAAGAAAAGCTTTAGATTTAGTGTGGAAAATGTTGTTGTTCTTTTTACTTTCTAACATCTATTGCAGCCAGAGCCTTCTCTGCTCTTATATGGAAATAGGGGCAGGGCATTTTGGATGTTTCCTCGAAATGGCATTAAGAGCTCCCTCTTTTTAGTGTATCATCTCCTTTAGTTACTGCAAAACATTCTTGGGACAGGTACCGTCGCAGGCTGCCAAGCATGTTCCCATGCACCTTCACAATTTGCTGACATCGACGGAACAGTGGTAGCACAGTGGGAAGGAATTAATACACGGGCTTAAAAGGAAATACCGGGTGCCAAGAAAATCGCACTGACGGCACAGGCTCATCTAAACCTTCACAGTTCAGAGGCCCAGAGCCTTTCATTCTTGCTGTAAAATAGCATGGCTTGCTGGTGGTGTGGGAAGAAACGAGGACCCACAGCATGCTTTCCCCCCGCCGCCATGTCACCAGCTGATGCCCACATACATTAATTTTTGGCTTGATTCTTACTTTTTGTGAAAGGTTTTACTCCATAACTCATGCACACGCTGTTCACTTGGGCGATTCCATCTCTTAAATCCCTTGCAAGTCACTGGATATATCGCTTAAGCTGCCTCTACCTTAGTTTACTAACAGAAAACTTAGGAGTAACATGTTTCTTAACAGCACAAAGGGTCTGTGAAGTTTACATGAAACAGGCTGCTGCTCTTTCGTATTGCATAGTCCTTTGTCTTGGTGAAATCAACAGGAGTGAAGGAGGGCAGAGTCTGGCCCTTCATATTTGCAAAGTGCTTTTTTGATCCCTGGACATTGTTATTATCCTTGCAGAGCACATTATTCAGAATACAAAAATCAAGCCTAATGAAGGATAAGTTAAACAAGTCCAGACCATTTACAAAGAAACAAATGTCCATTTGCAAAAGCCTTAGAAAATCCAATAAAATACACATACTGCTTAGTGAGGTGAGATGAAATGCCTGCATGCGTATGATATTAGAAAAGAAACAATTCAGCTCTGAAAAAACAGGTAACGAACTACAGCGGAATGCATTTGTTTGTGTTTCCTCCTGTAAATAAGAAAACCTGGATTTCTGCTGCCTACCTTAACCATTAGATCATGCTAAGCATATTTTCTGGGGTCAGGTATTCTTTGAGTTAGAAATCCAGTGATGTTTATTATAGCATGCCATTATGAAAACACAATACAAAGAGCTCAGCAAAGGCAGTAAAGGTGATGCTAGGCAACTAAATAACTCCCAGTAACGATTCTTTATTCCTATTACTTATATTCATCCAACACCAGCCAAGGCTTGGGACCACCTTGTACTGGCTCTGTGCAAGCTGAACAAATAAGCAGACAAGATGAAAAGAGAAGAGAGAGAATCTACAATCTGTCACTCATTCCCCCTTCACGGTTGCTCAAGAGCTAGTAAGATTATCTGAAAACTTTGGCAAAACATGTTGGAAAACAAGTAGCGTTGGGCTGTAACAGGGGGCTTTTCTCTTTGAATTGAATTTGATCTGTTTTTCTACAGTCTGAGCCTGCCTTTTGTGGATTCCTCTCGAGGACCCACTTGGGTCCGGTTGTATAAGGCTATACAGGGAAAGCTGGTGACTGCCCGCTCGGACAGCAGGACGGATGCATGCGTATGCACAGGCTTAGGTGGCTGCATGATTTAAACTGATGCCTCAGCTTGTAATGGTAACGCTGGGGAGATGCAAACCTGCACGCAATGGAGCCGGGCAAATTTCAATGTTATGTTTCAGGAATATGTGGTGAAGTTAGAGACAAATCTCCTTCACAGAGCAAAGCAGCTTAAAACTGTTTTTTCTAAGAAGCAGTATGGAAAATATCAATGTAAAAATATCTGAAAAAATATGGAAGATGAAGTGATATATTATTGTAACTCAACATGTGTATAAAAATAATTTTACTTTGATATAAAAATACGCATTATGCACATTTTTCCTTAAAGACTTCTAAAGGGAAGAGAATGCAGCCTTTGCCTGTAGTTCACTTCAATAAAAAATGTTCATTTCAATTATGATTTCTACAGCAACATTCACTAAACATGAGACTGAACGAGCATAGAGGAACATGTAACGGTCATCGCATTTCTTTGATAACA